ACTCGAGCCTCTCTACGCTTCGCCAACTGAGCTTTTTTGAGTTTCTCGAGGGTAGCAGCGGCCGTACGCTTCAGGGTAGGGTAGTCGGCCTTCTCGGCAGCCTTGCGTGCGCGCCCAGCCGTCGCTGCGTCCGCAAACGTGCATCCTTCTCTCTCGAGAAGAGAAGTCATGAAGTTTTTGAAGATTTTTTTTTTGGACTTGACGCGACCCTTGTTTTTAACCACCTAGCCATAAATTAGGAGGTGATCTGGTAATCAATGCCACTCGTCGGGTTCTAGATCAATCGGGGATCGTTTTTTTTAGCTGTGTGCGCAGAAACCAGAGCTAGAGAAGTAGCGAAGGCGATTTTTGACCCTCGTCTAGGTATTCGCGCCAGCTGCGTCAACAGCCGAAATTTCCGTCGTTTCGGGATTTTTCAACCACCAAACGGAAATCGGCTTCGCTACTTCTCTAGCTATAGCATAATTACAGGTGATTGTAGATTGAGAATAGCCATCTCCTCGCCGTCTTCGCGCATTTTTGATTGCCAGTTCCTTGTCTTTGCTCAAGTAAGTAGGACTGCTGTCTGTGTGCCCCCTTCAAACAAAAAAAAACAAAATCTATTCGCAGCATGCCGTTTTTTGTTGCTCCGCAGGGGGGTAACCCCAGGATCTGTGTATCTTAAGTATGTCAACCACTAGTCGCCTCCCGCACTAACGGCAGCTTCCAAACAGCGCCCGTACCCTACAAGTATGCAAAGGGGAAACATCTGTCCCCGCATGCCATACGCACACATGGCAGATCACTTTGTCCTTACCCTCCCCTCCACAAAGCATGCCAACATGTATCCGTTTTCCGTTTCATCGACAATAATACACGACCCCCCCACTACCACTACCATCCTCCCCCACTGAACTGTCCAGCATGCAAGGCAACGTCTGCCTGTTCGATAGCGCAGAGCGTAGGAGCCTGTTCAGCGATGGCCCCAAGCCCCTCGCGCTGCTGCACGAGACCATCAACATTATGGGAGCCGGCCGTTTCCCCGAGGGACAGACGGAAATACCTTTCGAAGCGGAGGTCAGGGGCATCGATGGCATGGTAAGCGTTCGTCCAGTATCCCCCCCAGGCTAGACGATTGTAACCTTCCCGCTCCCCCGGGCCGGCCGGCCATAGACGATTGTAAAATGTTTCGCCGGTCCCCTTGCGTTTTGTTTGGACTGCTGCTGTGGCCACGGAAATTCATCCATACCTCTACGAGTAAGGAAGACAAAGGGCATTGGGTAGAGGCGAAAAGTGGTTTGATCTTTTTACAGCAACAACGCCGACGTTATGCTGTAAAACTTGAAGGAGAGAGGGAAATCCTCATTTTCCCCGTCCTGCTTCCCACCGCCTCCTCTGTATTCTGCCCCCAAGCCACTGCTAAACAGCTATTCCGGAGTGTACCTGTCGATCGGGTATCACATCAGCGCAAAGATCGAGCGCGGGATGATGCGCAACGACCTCTCCAAGAAGATCGAGTTTATGGGTAAGATGCCCCCCCACCCCCACACATGTCCAAGGTAGCGGAAAAGGGCAAAGCACGAGCAGGGAAACTGCACCCAATACTCGCAAACCGGCACCTCGATACACGCGTCAAATTGAAGGTTTTGAAGAGCGTGATCGTACCGCCGCTAGAGTACGCCGGAGAAGTATGGGAAGGAAGAAGGTAGTGAAAGAACTCGAGGCGGCGCAGATGAAAGCAGCGAAAATCATCCTAGGATGCTCCAGGCGCACAAGTAATGCAGCCGTCAGGGCAGAATTGGGGATCCAATCCCTACGGTCGGGAAGAGACGCGAGGAAGCTGACATGGCAGTATCGCATGTGCGGGATGGGAGAGGAGAGGTTGCCGAGAATTGTATGGGAGGCGAAGTGGGCAAACAAAAAGAGGGGTAGACAACCCACGGAATGGGTCAAGGTTGTAGAGGACGTATGGACGGGGCTCGACATCGACGAATATGAAACGCTGGAAACGGAGGGTCTACAGGGGTTCAAGGAGAAGATATCTGTTGCTTGTGCCGAGAGAGAAAAACAGAATCTAAGGAAAGAATCCAAAGATAAGGAGAGTCTAGCAGTGTACGGAAGGTTGAAGGAAGGAAAAGGGTTCAAGGATTACCTAAATGGACCAATGGATGCAGGATGCAGGAACAAAGCTTGAGGTCAATTTCAGGACCAGGGACATAGGCCTCCGAGAACGTGGACGAAGACATGGGACGGTAGACAACGAAGACGACGAGTTCAAATGTGATTGCGGCTTCGAATGCGAAGACCGTGTTCATGTAGTCGCGGAATGTCCGTTGTACAAGAAGGAGAGGGAAGTGTACGTGACTGAGCTTGGAAAAATGGATGGGACGTACAGGGAGATGTTTGAGGCATGGAATAGAGAGGAAAGGACGGTAGCTGTACTGGGGCATAGGAGGTGGGTTGAAAAGGCGGGAAGATATATATATCGTTCGGATAGACAGACTAGGGAAGACATTTTTGAGCCGCCTTTGGCAAAGTAGAAAAGAACGATTGGACATCGGTGATCAGTCCTGTGGGAACTATGCTCCGTTCTCTCGAGGACGCGTGGTCAATGGGCTAACCGCTAAGGCATGCAAATCAAAAGAGGACGCCCCCCCCCCGCCGCTGTACAAAACCTCGGCATCACACCCCAATTGCGTCAGTTTCGTCGATTGTCATGTTTTCGACTTTGTTGTTGCTGTCTTCACATTAAAAACCTTTCCGGTGTGTGCTCAGTACCTGCTAACGGTTCCAACTGGCGCGGACGCCTTCCGTGGTCGCAGGCCAACTACCCTTAAAGGGTATCTACGCACGTCTTTTTTCCCATGGTTGAAAACATGGCATGTTTTTTGTTTGTTTTTTCAGTGGAGGTCCCCGGAGAGGCAGCGAGCCCAGCAACGGAAGTACCTTTCGAGATCACCCCGGAGACGCTAGAGTACGCACCCAAGCGTTACGGCCGACAGCGGCGATTACGGCCCTTTCGAGTGTCGGGAAGGCTGTATAGCGCCACCGTATCCACGAGCCAGCCGCTGACAGGGGAGGTGGTTGTCGAGGAGTCGGAGCGCCCGATCAAGGTAACTCCCTGTATCCGTCCGCAAGATGTGCGAATTCTTGACATGTTGAATGGGGGGAGGATCTCGCAATTCTCGGCGCACCACAGGCAATATTTTGGACCTTCGACTTTGCTTAGTGTGTTGTTTTGGTTGGACTGTCAAAGTAAGTTCTCTTTATTCAATTAGCCGTTGCCTTTCAGGTGTGTTACTTTTATGGCTGTACAATTACACGCTTTTCACGTACCCTCTCCTCCCCTCCACCTTGTGCACGCTTGGTACCTCTTTGAACACACACATGTTGGGATGTGGCGTGACCCGCTGCCGGCGCGTTCGATTCGACCTAGTCGTTGGAGGTGCAGCTAGTGAGAGTCGAAACGGTGTCCCAGGTGAGAGTGCGATTGTTGGCACTGTACCGCCTGCTGCTCAATAAATAAAGTCGCATGAATTCACGATGTTCAAGCGTTGGTGTTTGTCTTGTGGTGCCAGCTGGGGCTGCGGAGAAGGCTGGCCGCTGTTGGTCCGGGTACAGCAATACAATAGAGCGGCATACACCAGCATCGTTGGGTTTGATCAGCAAGAGTTGGCGGGGTTTAGCAAACATGTGGTCAGGGTGGACACACGCACGCTATAAAGTAACATCGCTCACGATCGAAATACGTTTGCCCCGCGGATTGAGGCGAGAATACCATGTGGACAGTGAAACAGAATGACGCATGTTGAGTGTTGAGTGCGCATAACATGGTGGATGTGAACCCCACCATCCTAGCCCTCTTCCCACGCAACACTCACATACGTACGGACTCGACAGCAGTGTTGGCGAGACCATGCAGCCCCGCGAGAGCGCCGCGAGAGCGGTCGATATAAAACGCGATTTTTCCATTCCATTCAATAATTTTGTGTAGGCCTGAACCACACACATAAATAGTGTGTGGCGGCCGTGGTTGGTTGGCTTGTTTTCGCAACAGCGCTACCTACCAGGGTTGTTGCCTGTGTGGCGATTCACCCATTGTTGCAGAAAGGGTGCGAACGCCGGAACCACACACATAAATTGTGTGTGGCGGCCGTGGTGGGTGGGCTTGTTTTCGCAACAGCGCTAGTACTGGTGCAATAGCTTACCCCTTTGATTGCGTACCGGCACAGGTGCAATCCTTGGACTGTGGGAGAAGCGACCAAATCTTGTGTTTTTTTTCTCCGCCCTTCATGTCCTAAGCCCGCGCCGCAAACACAAAACATTTCATCCACCTAGCAAAGACGAGTCTAATGCATGCATAACGCCTAGCTACGCGTCCCTTTTCCTGTTCCCTCCCTCGTACCCTGTGGCATCTAAAACAAAGGCGCAAGGCCAGCTGCGGGAGGCGACGGAGATTCAGAACCTCCAGATAGGGGAGGGAGACGTGTGCCGGGGCCTGGTGATCCCGATCTACATGGTGCTGCCGCGGCTGTTTTCGTGCCCCACGATGGTGACTCCGCGGTTCCGTGTGGAGTTCGAGCTGAACGTGATCGTCTGCTTTGCGGAGGCGGAGGGTTACACGGCCACGCAGAATTTCCAGATACTGTTGGTTTGAAAGTGAGAATGACGGAAAGAGTGTGAGGGTGATACGGCCATGAAGAATTTCCAGATGCTCTTGGTGTATGAGAAAAGTGCGAGGGTGATACGGCCACGCAGAATTTCCAGATACCGCTGTTGGTGCGAGGTGGGAATGGTGGAAGGGTCCGAGGGTGACACGACCACAGAGGATTTCCAGATATGGTTAGCGTGATGAGGCAAGAGGTTAAGGAAAGTGACATGTGCGAGTGTAAGCAGAATGTCCAGATACAGTAGTTTGGTTGGTGAGAATGACGAAGGAGTGTGAGGGTTGTACGGCCACGCAAAATTTTCCAGATACTGAGAATGACGAACGAGCGTGACTTGTTCCCTCGATTTTGTCTTTCGTTGTTGTTTGTGCCATGCGCCTTAAACCCGTGGCCATGCCCACGCTTGATTGGATGTTGTTGCGGGATAACCCTTCCGGAATAAGTGACCCAACGATGTGGCGCCATCGATGTTGCTGGTAAATCCCCAAGGGTGGAAATCGATTGTTTTGCCTAGAAGATTACGTCGTTTTCCATTTGCGGCGTGACTAATTTAGCGCTCGTCTCCCCCTTCTTTAACGGTGTAGGTGGTAATCGTGTGGTGTGGTATTCCACGTGCAACGGTGAAGAGTACCTTGGGTATCCTTGGGCGCTCATCGCCTGGCCAGGCTGTCTTTGTGTTAGTTGTTCTGCAGCAGCAGTGCAGCGCGGCACGGAGCAGCACCGGATGATGAGATAAGCAGAGGAGTTGCCATCGCAGTTAGTGGACGGAGCTGGCGCAAAAACCAAAGCACCCGCATGCCGTTCGAGCCCGCTCGTCTCACTGTTCCTTAAGAGCGTCAAACTCACATGTTACACATATACCCTTTTTTTAGATAGTAAACATAACTCACCACCCTTTTGTTGCTTTTTTTTTTGTGTGAATGCTTTTTTTTCAGGCTCGCGTGTTGTACCCCGTGATGGCAACGGAGTACAAAGCGCCGTTGACGTATCTTGTGCGAACTTGATTTTCTTCCGTTGCGAAAAATACTTTCTTGTTCGCCCCTGAAAAGAGTGATTCTTTGCGAGTGCAGTGGGAATCGTTGTAAACAGTTGTTTGCTGCTGAATTTTCATTGATTTAGGCTGATGAATGATGACGGCGCACCATGTGACGCTGTGCATAGGCATGCTCGCAGCAGCTGTTCAGCTATCGGTCCCTCGTAGCGTACCGCTTCGAGTGCAACAACAACAACGGCAAAGGGATCTGTCTGGGATCTACGGATGCGTGACACAGGGATACTTTTCCGTGTTGTACCACTCTTTCCGACCACTTGCAGGCAATTCATTTGGCATGCCTCGTTGATAGAGCAAACAAGTCCTCTCCAGAACCCGCGACGCGATGTCCCGTGAGTAAAGAAACCGGACATGGTTTGTGTGAAGTCGCCTCTCCTTTTTTCCCACTTTATCTTGTCCTCGATTGAGCAGATAAAAAACATGTTCCCTGCTGATATCTATCAGGTGCATCATCGGCAAAAAATGCATTGAGACATCAACTCCGCAATCACATCGCTCCCCAAACACAACACCAACGGACCCCCCCCACCTGTGACGGATTCCCAAAACACACAAAAGAAGCACTCATTAGACCCGTTACACGCACGCGAAACACCCCACAAACGCAAGCAAGTACACACAAATACTTACACTACATGGCTGCACGATGTGCAGCGGGAGGCGTTGACCCTGCGATTATTGCGCGGATAACGTAACGCCGCCACTGCGGGGCATCAAATGTGACGAGCACAAGAATTCGGCCACCACCACCGATCCGTCGACCGGATACTACTGGGCGCCGAACAGCCGCACACAACCTGTGGCTGCGCCCCGGCAAGAGCGGGCGAATCGGATCACGGTTGGGGGGGGGGGCGCATACGCCGCCAAAGCAGACGAAGAGTAACCGAAAACAGCGGAGAGAAAAAAGGAGTAGATGCAGCCATATACGGCCGGCGAACGTCGCTGGACGCGAAAAGTACCGGTGTGTGTTCGTCCCATTTATTCTGGCGCCGGTTTACAGGCCTTTCGGCGTGAATACCTGACGCATCAGCCGGGGTCACACACTGAAAAACATCCTCCATCAAAGACTCACCAACACCAACGAGGGAATAACAAAGCCAGACGCGGCTCGTCTGAAGTCCAAGGAACCCCCCCTCAAACAGCACGGCGTTTCTTCCGTTGTCCAAACCAACCGCTGCCGCTGTGGCGTCTACGACAACGTGCCAACAGGCAAGGCTGGGTTGCGAAATCGGCACCTACAACGGAGGGAAACACGGAAAGAGGACGCTTGGAGACCCGCGCCTACTGTTGGTCTAGTGTGAGCTGGTTTCCTAGCGAAACACAGCAAAAGTTGGTTTGCCAGCCCTGTACAGCAGTACAGTACCAGTGCCCCCCGCCCACCACAAGACACTCAACAGAATCGCGCTTTGTACGCACAGACCATGAAATAAAGTGGTGCTGCGCGACATCAAGTGCCTGGTACCTGGTATGTGCTGAGGGTGGTGGCTGCGGGAGTGAGTGATAACGCAGGAGATGCTATGATAAATAGTCGCTGATCGCCTCGAGTGAGACCGCCTGCTGTTCTAATCAGCCCCTTTCCCTCCCCGCGAGCACGAGAAATAGCCACGAGGGGCACAGCAAAAACGAAGCGAGCACACGAAACAGCCACGAGGGGCACAGCAAAAACAAACAAGGGACTCAAAATCTTCCGTCTTCGTTTATTTCCACCGCCGCCGCCGCCGCCGCTACACGCCATTCCTCGCGGAAAAACCAAGACTCCCCCGACAGCATGATAAACCACACCACCGTCCAGATCACCACCCGCCACTACACTCAGCTTCATCCCGCCACCACCATCACCGTGTTGTCTCCGTTCAACGAAACAACACCAATCCCTCCAACCCAATCCTTTATCCCCCAGACCCCGCGCCCGCGATTCCATCCCATTCTTGCTTCGAAAGCGTGTGCGTCCGTCGGTGTTCGATCGTCGGTGTTCCATCAGGGGGCTGCATGACGCACTAAACTGACATCGAAAGTTGGGGCGAAACTGGCTTTACTAGACACGACGCCTCGTCTCGCCCTTCTTGGTGCTATGTGTCTCAGGTCCTCCGGGGAAAACACACTCCCAGTACGGTGGCTCCTCCATCGAAAAACACCGTCTAGACCTGCGGTTGGAGGTTTGCCCCCTACCCCCCCCCAAAAAAAAAAGAAAAGAAGCTAAACACACCCTTCACCCGCTGGCCGCAAAGCAAAACCAATCATCCTTCCGTGCAGAAGGAAGACGGCTGGCCTGCCTCCCGCTCCTCTCGCGACTGCCGCTAGGCATGCGCGGGAAACGCCCTTGCTCGTGAGCGCCTCATACGCTCTCGTTACTTCCTTTTTCCTCGCCGTGTCTTTTGTCGGGGCAGGCCCGCGCTGAAACGACGACACCCCCAAAATGAATACTCGTAGCGTCGGGTTCATCGCCCGCTGTCCGCAAAAGCGAACCGGCCTACTTGGGGGGGGGGGGTTCCAGGAAGCTTCCCCGCCTAGAAATCGTTGCCCCGCAGCCCTATAGAATATCGCGGCGCGCTCTCGTAGCTCCTACGGCTGTTTAGTTCCCATCCACAAGCGACACCGCCTTCTCCTGAGAAATTCCCACCGCATCGTCGGGTACCCTTCGGCGGACCCCGCAGGCGTTGTCGCTAGAGCTGCTGCTGCTGCCGGTGCTAGATCTGGCGTTCCCATTGGTACGTTGCGGGGCCCCCGTCATGGCCGGGCAACTACCCTTAGCCCTACCAGATGTCGTCATTGGTGCTGGTGCTGGTGCTGCTGCTGTCGACGACGGCATCTGCCCGAACACACGGGCCAGCAAGCACATGACCCCGACCGCGGCCAGCTACCGAACCGTACACCCCGCGGAAAGGGAAAAAGGGTCACGCAGAAGGGTGGAGGGGCTCAGTTGAGGGGACACACAGGCTCAACAACAGAGGGTTGGAAGACTTGCAGTACTGTGCCCCTCATCAACCTTACTGGCACGTAGATAGATACGCCGAAGGGTGGTTAGAAGGTACTAGGCAGACATCGGGACGGCCATTTACGTCAAGACAACAACCACAATGTCCGACAAGATTTTGTACGACTATCGTTTGCTGGCTAGAAATCACGTGTGTTGGCGATAGTAATACAGGAAAGGCTTTCGAAAAGTGGCGGGTGGGACCCGTACTTTCTTGTACCTGCGCTCTGTGCCCTCCAGTTGTGGTTATTTCGCCGTGGTGCCTTGCTGTGGCAATCCCCCTCACTCTTGTGTTTGTAGGCTTCCAAGTAAGCATTCCCAAAAACAAACGAATACCAGTGGTACACACCACCAATATATTGCAAGATAGATGCGACCTATTGCAAGGTAGGTACGACCTATGCAACGTCCCGCAGTCCCTCCAAAAGGTCGCCAAAAGTAGTCAGCGGTCACCCCCAGAAGCCAGAGCATGCAACAGTGGTTGAAACGAGACACATCTACCAAAACAAGCCAGACTCATCTACCAAACAAGCCAGACACGCTTGAAGAAAATTACTAACATACACGAAAACATACACAAAGAAAATATCGGCGGCCCACCTGAAGGAGGCCGCAGATTAACCCCCACACCGGGCGGTAGTACTTCCCGAACATCTCGAGGGAGTCTGGGGGCACCGACATGGTGGCCACGTTCACCCCCGTGAATAGGTTGACTGGGGCAAGCCACCACCAGTGGTAGCAGGTCAAGATAACGAAGCCCACGGAGTTCCACCAGAAGTCCCTGCGTTTTGTTCATTTTTCCGAGGTGAGTTTCCAAGCGATGATCAGGCACTACGACACGTTCCCAAACAAACGCTGCCCACTGGGAGGCGCTACGCGACTAGCGAGCTATCATGGCTTGAGGTCCGTGTTTCCGTCGACGACACTCAGCCGGTACTTCCGCGTCCAAATCAATTTCCTCGAAATTTATCGCTATACTCACGCCTTCAAAGCCCCCCCCCCCCCCCCCCCCCCCCCCCCCCCCCCCCCCCCCCC